GAAGGAAGGAAGGAAGGAAGGAAGGAAGGAAGGAAGGAAGGAAGGAAGGAAGAGGAACAGGAGGGAAGAAAGGAGAGGGAGGGAGGAAGGGAGGAGGGGGAGGGAGGAAGGGAGAAGGAAGGAAAGGGAACAGGAGGGAGGAAAGGAGAAGGGGAAGGGAGGAAGGGAGGAGGAAGGAAGGAAGGAAGGAAGAGGGGCAGGAGGGAGAAGAGGAGGAGGGAGGAAAGGAAAAGAAGGAGGGAGGGAGGAAGGAAGATGAGCAGGAGGGAGGAAAGGAGGAGGGGAGGGAGGAGGAAAGAAGGAAGGGAGGGAGGTAGGGAGGGAGGGAGGAAGGAAGGAAGGAAGGAAGGAAGGAAGGAAGGAAGGAAGGAAGGGGAGCAGGAGGGAAGAAAGGAGAGGAAGGGAGGAGGGGGAGGGAGGAAGGGAGGAGGGGAGAGAGGAAGGGAGGAGGAAAGAGGAAGGAAGGAAGGGGAGCAGGAGGGAGGAAAGGAGGAGGGTGAGGGAGGAAGAGAGGAGGAAGGAAGGAAGGAAGGAAGGAAGGAAGGAAGGAAGGAAGGAAGGAAGGAGAACAGGAGGGAGAAGAGCAGGAAGGAGGAAAGGAGGAGAAGGAGGAAGAAAGGAAGATGAGCAGGAGGGAGGAAAGGAGAAGGAGGAAGGAAAGGAGGAGGGGGAGGGAGGAAGAGGAGCAGAAGGGAGGAAAGGAGGAGGAGAGAGGAAGAGGAGAGAGAAAGAGGAGGAGGGAGGTAAAGGAGGAAAGGAGGATGGAGGAAGAGGAGGAGAGGCTTCTGCGCCAGAAGCCCCCCACTTGATGAGTCTCTGGCAGTGGCACCAAGACAGCCCCACTGCAGAGCCCAGTGGCCTCAGGGCTGTGCAGGGCAGGCAGCCACAGCACCTGAGCAGATCCCACTGACTTAGCCCTCTGGCAGCCAGGCCCTGGAAGCTCGTGGGGCCTTCACAGGTGATTCAACATCTGGACAGCTGCGGTCTAGATTTTCCTTTCCTGCTTGATGCAAGCTCCACAGGGGCAAGGGCCTGTTCCCTTGCTCCCCAGTACAGCACAGCCCAGCTCCAGCCTGACACACCCCTGCTGCCCGAGACAGCTGCCAGAAAAATTTATCTTCCAAGTAAAGGGTATGGGGAGAGCAGAATACGTTCTCCAGAGGGCAAAGATGGACCAGGAGATGGGACATTAGGGTATGCGGGGCTGATCCATGAGGGAAGCATGCGGGCGCACAAGGGGTTCTTTATTGGCAGGGAAACCTCTTTGCCTGCAACCCCAATGCTGAACTGGAGCGGGGAGAGGGGAGGAGTGAGAGGAAGCCGTCCTGCCTTGTGCCCCTGTCCAGCAGGTGCTTCCTAACTGTGCTGGGAGTGAAGTGCGCTGGTCCTGGGTTGCACCTCACCTTAGCAAATCCACCCTCCACAAGGACACCATTTCTGGCCTATAGCCCTTGAATGGCCAAGACTGTGGGGCCCACCCACATGTGGGCCAGGGCCTCCCCCTCGGTGGCTGCTCCACGGGGTGGGATTCTCACCACACACACACTGGGGGTGCCCATCACCTGCTCAGAGAGGCCAGAGCTGAAGTGGAGGAGGGAGTGAGCAGCCAGAGTCCCCGCCCCTCCCACCTCCATCCCCTGGTCTTCTGGGCAGCTCGATGCCCCCAGGTCACCGGCCCCACCAGCACCCAGAAGGCCTAGCTGGGGCAGAGGATCTGCACCACAGCTATTGGCATAGCTTGCCAGTGTGAAAACAGTGGGTGAGTACACCCCACTTCAAGAAGCACTGCCCTAAAGCTCTGCAGGGGCTGCACCAAGGGTCCTGGTCCCTAAAAGCCCAGGGGAGCAGCTGAGGTCAGCAGTGATAGAGTGCTCGTCCCCTCCCTGGGCAGCGGGTCTTCGAGAAAGCAAGGAGGGGTCTCTGGGAGCTCTCAGGAGACCTTAACATGGAGACAGGACCTTCCTGGTCCTGTGACACTGCTGTTTCCTCTCCTACACACTGAGCTCCAAGGAGCCTGAGGTGGCTGTGTGACACCTCCCACCCGGCTTTCGGCAGGAAAACCAAGACCCGAATGAGGCCAGGCACTGGCCATGAAGGCCGCAGGAGGCTGGGAGCTGGATGAGCAATGTTGACACCCTGGTGATAGTGGCTTTAGGCGCACTACTGTTGGGGGACACCAGGTAAAAAGTCTGCAGGAGTGTGGTTATGTCTCATAACTCCGTGGGAGTCTACAGTTAGCACAATATAAAGTGATCAGCTTTTAAAACATAGGTGTGTTGAAAATAAATAAACGACCTGAAGTAGTGGGGTCCAACAAGTACAAGTGGGGTCCCACCAGGGGTCTCCCTCTGGATCTGAGCGTCTGGATACCTAGCCTAGCAGGCTTCGCTGAGCTGGTGCTCTCCTGGAAGAGCCGCATGCAGGGGTCTGGAAAACGTCCCTAAAAGTACTATGTCCATACCATGGAAGCTTCTGGAAAATCTGCCCAGCAGATTGTGGGAAGGGAAAGATGCTAACCAGGCCTTGCTCTCTCCGCAGGGCAATCAGGACGCCACGGCTCCGCCTGAGGCGATGGCCCAGCCCTACCCCCCTGCCCAGTACCCGCCTCCGCCTCAGAACGGCATCCCCACTGAGTACGCCCCGCCCCCACCACACCCCACGCAGGACTACTCCGGCCAGACCCCTGTCCCCCCAGAGCACGGCATGACCCTCTACACACCAGCACAGACGCACCCTGAGCAGCCGGGAACCGAGGCCAGCACGCAGCCCATAGCAGTGACCCAGACAGTGCCGGTAAGGAGGCCCTGGTCCTTCCCCTATAGGGCAGAAAGCCCTGGAGAGGGAGTGTGGTGGGGGAGGGGCTTAGAAGGGCTTCTGCATTTGAGGAGCTGCTCTGGTCCAGGGGTCTTCACCCAGCATCCGGGACCTTGCACTCCTCACCATTCCTGAGGCTCCCTGTGGTAAGCAGGTGCACCGAGGGTTGGGGCACGACCCTGCCTGCCCTTAGCTGTCCCTGGCCTCAGGCAGACTCTGACCTCATCTGAGGTGGGACGAGTGTCCTCCGTGGCCAGGCTGGTGACCTGTTAATGGAAGACAAGGGAGCTGGCCGAGGCCTGGCTGGGGCCCCGTGGGGTCCTGGGGGCATGCAGAGGGGGAGGTGGGGAGGTGGCCCAGCTGTCTCAGGTTGCAGGCCCTCCTATCATTTCTAATCACTTGTAATCTACCTGCTTGGCTGCTCTCCAATCAGATAGCTTCAATTATGTGGTTGTAATGCAGCTCGGAGGCGAAAGTGCTGAGCCCTGCACTTCTCAGATTTCCTGATGGAGAAGGGAACTGGCGAGGAGCAGCCTCCTGCCTGGGTGGGCTCCGCACCCAGGCAGCCCCCACCCCAAAGTGAGAGTGGGCAGCCACCCAGCCGGCCTCCACCCACTGCCCTTGGCCTCCACCTGCTCCTTCTCTGGGCCTGCCCCCAACCCTTGCCCTGGGACTTCGTATTCTTCCACCCGCCCTGCTGGCTCTGTCCCAGCAGCCAGCCCTGCTGGGCACCAGATGGCAGGAGGCCAGCGAACTGCACTCCTGGATCGGCACCACCCTGACGGCTCCCAATGGGCCCCCAGCTGTGCTTCCTCAGCCACCCCAGTCCAGGACGGATCCAAATGTTACCCCACACACATGGCACCCAATCTGTGGGGGACGAGCCCGCACAGCGGCCGCTCCGCAGGACCTGACCTCATCTGGTGCCCAGCCAGCGCCTTTCCTCTCCCGTCAAGTGCCGCGACCCTGAGTCTGCTTGGAAGCTGTCAGAACTTTCCATCCCTCTCAGCCGCATCATGGTGCAGATGTCTCCCAAACACTCTCTCCAGGGTTCCTCCCACCATGGAGCATAGATGCAAAAGGCCAGACCGATTGGCCCTTAGAGCTGGGAGCCAAACCATCTTCCCCAGGTGCCCTGACTCTGATCAAACTCACAACCTGTGTGTGCTCAGAAAAGACAGATGTGGACCCTGATGCCAGAGAAGTTCACCACAGCCATAGCCAGGAGGCCCAGATCTCTGACGGACAATGGCAGACAAGGCTTCATTAGTCAAACCTCTGACGGCCTCCTTATGAACAAGTGGGGGGTCTCTCAATGTTAGCCGGGGGGGCTTTGCCTGGAAGGAAACAGAAGACAAGATGGTCAGATCCACTGATGACACAGGGTAAGGGCTGGTGACACACAAATGAGCACCAAGGCCTCTGGAAACCCCAAGGCCACAAGACAGTCACTGGGACCTTCATAAAGCCCTCTGTCACTCTGTACCCAGATGTGGGCTGAGTACCATTGTATGCCAGGACTAAATTAGCTCTGGGGGTGCAGAAAAGTGACCAGCTCTGCCCTCTGGTTCCCACTGGTCAGTCACAGAAACATCAGACTGGTGTCCTGGGGGATCCTGAGCGAGCCCTACTCAGGGCCCCACGCACCTCACAGGAGCACACCTGGACTGGAGAACATCAGAGCCAGGATGAACGGGCAGCCTGACTTCCTCCCATTGGGCTGGTCCTCAGGTCCTGCCCAAAGGTCAGGGCTGTGGTGCAGAAGCAAGATGCTTGTTCTTGGTGGCCCCGAGCTGAACGTGAGCTGGACGTGGAAGGCACTGGGCCAGCACTAGCAAGAAGACCTTGAAGACACCAGGACTGCCCTGCCAAGACCTGGTGCAGCCAGAGACCTCTCTGACCTTGGAGCACCTGTTCGGGCAGAGCCTTCCCACCTTGGGAGGGAGCTAGAAAGGAGGATGTTCTAAGATTCCTGGAGCCACTTTCCTCCCACAGAGCTGCCTGGCACTGGCAGCAAAGGCCAAATGCTCATGTGTTGGGTCAGGTGTCACTGTCCTGTCCTTGCAAACGCTAGGAGGGTTCTCTCAGCTCACTCAGCCTTCTCCTGGCCCTTCCCCAAGCAGCCTGGTGTTAGGAGTACAGGGCATCAAGGTGGCAGGCGGGGTGGACTCTGGGCTTTGGTTTAGTCCTGGCTTCTCCCACCTGGGTTAGGGCTCCACTGAACTCCCAGGGTGCAGCCACCATCTGCCTCGGCCTCTTCCCCCCACTACACACACACACACACACACACACACACACACACACACACACACAGATTCAGAAAGTCCCCTTAGGGTCCCCTCAGGCCCCTGCTATTAGCACCAAATCAGGACCTACAGCTCCCACCTTTCTACAGCCCACAGGCTATGAAGGCCCAGCCTCCCTGCCCTCTCTATCAGAGGGCTTTCTCTCTGGTGAGTACAGCTGTCCTGACAGGAGGTGTGACCAGGGCCAGCAGGGCAGGGACTCTGAGAGCCAGTGCAGCTCTGCCCTCAGCCTCCCTGCTGATGGTAACACCACAGTTGGCCTCTTCAGGGCTGCTCCTGCCTGGCCCAGGGTGACAACAATGACCTTGGGCTTGAGACTGATGGGTGGGAGCGATGTGGGCCCCACAATTCACACTTCATCTCCTCTGCCTGGCCAGAACCTGCAAACACACACACACACACTGGGCTTCAGCTCAGAAAAGGTAGAATTTCCTAGAATTTCTGCATCTACTGGGCTTCTTGCCCTCCTGCTCAGGAGGGTTCCTAGCTGATAACTGGGGGGAATTATGTTTAGCCAATTTAGGATCCCCTTGGTACCCCCACCAGCAGGGCAAGGGGCCTAAAGATGCTGATAAACAGACAGGCGACTCCTCAGGGAAAGGTTGCCCCAAACTACACCCTGGTCACTCACCTGTCCCAGATGTAGGGGTAGAGCTGGATGGAGCAGGTTGGCCTCAGATCCTCAAGAGCACTCATTGGCCAGCGAGATGCTCAGAGTAGCGTGTCTGTCATTCACAGTCCAAGCAGGAGCACAATTGTACTCTAGGAGGGGCTGCCCAGAGCTCTAGGTTTTGAAGAACATACTTCCAGCAGGAGGAGTGAGAAAGCCCCACCTCCAAGGCCAAATGGCCACTGGCTGGGATTGACCCACGTTGGCCACCAGAACTGACAGCTGGAGAGAGAGGGCTGCAGAGAGTGGTTCACCTTGTGCCACACCAGCAATGCTTAGTTCCAGCCCAACCACAGGGCCACGGAGTCCCACCTGTTGCTCATAGCTCACCTGGACCCAGGGCCCCTCCTCCAGCTGACTCTCTTCACTTCCCTGTGCTGAGCTTGGCCTAGGTGCCAGGGGCTACAGGCTCCTCTGCAGGTGGGAGATGGCTCTGGGCATCTGGACCTGCGAAGATCCATCTAGGGGCTGGTGCCTGACTTTGCGTGGTGGAGGCTGGAGTGGGAGGGAGGGTAGTAATGGCTGGGTGGAGACATCAAAGACAGCCAGGAGGACTGGCAGGCAGGGAGGGGTTCTGCTGGTGGGGTTTCCTTTTTTTCTGCATTTGAACATTTGAAATCTGGAAGAAGCAAAGATTGCATTTTTTAAACAACAACAACAAAAAAAAAGGGCAGGGGGAAGAAAGCCCCTCGGAAAAGGAAGGTGGCAGACGGTGGAGGCGCCTGGACTGCTGTGATAAATGGTGGGCAGGCTTGCATCTCTGCTCGGGGGCAGCGGCGTGCAGTTCGCTCTGGGGTCTCTCAGCGCATCTTACAATTTTACAGTCATTGAACCCATTTATCTGCCTCTGTCCACTGCTGGGCTGGGGGCAGGGAAGGCGCAAGAGCTCTTCTTTCCTGTATCTTAGCCCCTCATGGCTCAGCCATGCATGCCGTCACCCCTTCCTCTCGCCAGGCCCTTGGCTGCTCCCTTTTAGGGTCTTTGAAGTGGGACATGGGCACCCCAGCTCCAGGCACCCTAACTTCATCAATGCCAGCCACAGATGTCCTCCTGTTGGCCCCCTTGGCCGGGGCTTCCTGAGCTCCTCTGGGTGGCCACCTGGCTGTGATACCACTGCCCTCTGGTGACCAAAAGCCAGTACTGCATGCCCAAGCCAGGCCTGATTCCCCAGGCCAGAATGATTCTGTTAGTCACCTGTAACCAAGAGCATCTGAGGGCACAGGGAACGAAGCCTGCGTGGATTCCACAGGAGACACAAGAGCTCCGCCTGCCATGGCCAAGCAGTGGGGCTCAGGCCTTTGCAAAAATCTGGGATTCTTCAGCCACTGAATTGGGAAGTCAGTGGGCATCTCCAGGCCCCTAGGGTGTCCTGTGGAGCCCAGGCAGCTGCCCTGCACTGTCCCACAGAGATGGGGGTCTGATGCAGGCCAGACCGTGGATCTCCAGAGGCCCCCACCAGCTGATCCCCTGCTGATCCCCTTCCTGCCTGAGCCCACTCCCCATCAGTGGGTGGCACTTCATAAGCGTGTAAGGCTTAAAAAACATTTCTCAGAATTGGCCAGATATGCTCAGGATAGCCAGCTTGTCAGGACCAACTACGTAATGCTTTAGGTGACAAGGACAGCCTGGACTACCTCCCAGCACAGAAAAAAAGCATTATATTGCGAGGACATTTGAGTAGGAAGCTCCACACCCTGCAGACCACCCAGGCCCGTGCCCATCTCTCCACCTGGGTCATCATCAGGGCCTTCAGAAGCCCATGTGGTACTGGCTTCTGTGGTTACCTAACGGCAGCAGAAGCCTGACAGGAGGCCTCCCAGCCAAGATGGCCTATGTTTGCAGAAAGGACAGGGAGAGAGCTGGACAGCCACTCCAGCTCAAGTCCAGAGATCGACCTCTTCCATTAGCTGTAGTGTGGCTTGGGAGAACTCTGCCCCTGTGGGCTCCATTTCTGCAGCTGCAAAACAAGGCCTTGGTCATGGTGACCTCGGTGCTCACAACATGTCTCAAGAGATGTGAATGCCTCATCGCTCCTGTTCCTGTCGGTAATGAACGACACACGTGTGCTCCTGTGTGCATGATTATGCAAACCAGCCCCTTCCTGGACACCATGGGGATTGTTCCTGTGTCTCCAAACTCACCAGGACCAAGTGCCTCTGCTCCTGAGGCCACCCAGGAAACCAAAGCCACCAGCACCCTGCTTTGTCTCAATTCTGGCAGACTCCCAGGGACCCTAACTGCCTCCATCTCAATTCCAGAAAGACTCAGAGTGGCTGCAGCCCGATCATCCCCTGTCCCCTGTGCCATCAGCTTGGGTCCTGTCCTAGAAACACACCCAAGCCAAGAGCTCAAGTGTGAATGGTGTATTGGGAAGTGTATCCCTCTAGCCCAGAGGGCCACAGGGAATCAGGGAAGGAAGCCAACAGAAAATGTGTTCACAGCAGCTGAACTCAGCATGGTTGGGGGAGCTGGGGACAGTGAACCCTCAGAGGAGACCCCTCCCCTCCAAGGGAGAGCTAGGGCAGGCACTCTCTGTGGTGCTGAAGACCTCTCTGGACACTTCAGCACTGCCTGCTGCCTGGCCAGCAGGCTGAGGAGGAGAAAATGTGCAGACTGGCTGGTGGTTTATGGTCCGTGTGCAGGAACATGACAGGCATAGAAGGTCTCAAGCCTATGCATCCAGGGGCCATGAGCTCACCAGCCACCTTGATCCTCCATCCATGCACCCCACCAGTGTCAACAAAGTGCATGTCCGGGCTGCTTTTCCTGCTACAAGTGCTGCTGGGACTAAGCCAGGTTGAAGGGCAGCTCCTGCTGAGCTTGAGGCCCGAAAGCTGGAGATGTCCATACCAACAGAGCCCCACACATGCTGTCTCAGGGGTCCCAGCCTTCTCCCCAGGACCCACACAGGGTGCACAGGCACAGGACAGCTTCATTTCCTGTAACCCAAGTCCTTCAGGGCCCATCTGTCAGCCAGAGAGGTCTAGATGACAGTGGGCTTTACAGTACTGACCTTGGTCACCCTGGACCAGGAGTGCTGGCAGCAGGATTAGAATAAGGAGCCTGTGCTGTGGATAGCCATAGGGGCGGGCATCCTTTGGCTGTGTGTGCCCAAGAGGCTAGTCCCAAAATCTGCCTGGTCCTGACACCTCTGTGGAAGGGTCTGAGCTGAGCGAGCCCAGTACAGACCCCACCACAGAGGTTAGCACTGGGGTGGCAGCCGGGAGATGGCCTCGCTGGCACCGCTTGGCCAAGGCTTGGAGCTGAGATCTCAGGGGTTAGATGGCAAACGTTGTGGGCATTGTCTGCCCCAATAGATGTGCAGGAGAGGCCTGTGGTCAAGCGGATGGGTAGGCCCTGACCATCTGGAGGTGGTCTCCAAAGCCTGTCCTCTCCCCACAGCAGACAGATGAGGCGGCACAGACGGACAGCCAGCCACTCCACCCCTCCGACCCCACAGAGAAGCAGCAGCCCAAGCGGCTGCACGTCTCCAACATCCCTTTCCGGTTCAGGGACCCCGATCTGCGGCAAATGTTCGGGGTGAGTGTGCTCAGGCTGGTCCACTCCTGCTCCTACCCCATGGCCTGGGGGCCAGAGCAACTCCCTCCCACCTGGGGACCCTGTGGGGCAGGGCAGGATGTCTGTTGTGGCAGCCCCATTCCCTGGCCAGAAGTCCCCCACCACCAGGGTCACCATTCTCAGGGGCTTCCTAGAGTCCCCTCGTTTATCAGTCTCTGGTTACTGCCTACCCCTGACCCTAGCCAAGAGCACTGAGGGAAGAGCCCAGCCTCTGCCATGAACAACAGACCACTCATCCTCCTGCCCTGGCCTGAGTCCTCCTGGTCCCTGCTGAGGTGACCGGAACATGTGCAGTTGATGTGAAGCAAGCAAGGACTCCCTACCTGAATCTCTTGTCCGTTTCTTGATTGCTACGTCAAGGCTTCCAGCAGTAGCAGGGCTGCCCCTGAGTCCTGTCATTGGACTTGAGCACCTGGAAGGCGCTGACACCCATTGTGCTGGGCCTTATGGAGGAGCAGGCCAGGTGTGCTGCCACCTCGCAAGCCCGCCCTGGCCGCCACGGACCCTGTAGCCTGGCCTGTATTTCTTGCCTGCCACTGGACCTGCCCCCTCTCCTTCCACACAGTGGGGCAGCTCTGATCCCTGAGCCCCAGCCAGCCTCGCAGGCTTATTCCACGCAGCTGGGCCTTGTCAAAGAAGTAGGATACAGCAGCCCAAGATGGAGGACCCCCAACACCTGTCTCTAGGGTGACCCCAAAAGCCCACTCCTTGCCCAAGGGTTTGACCTTGTTGGGTTTAGAGCTGACTCACCAGGGTGCTGCCAGATCTCTCTGGGCCCAGCTCCCTTTGCAGCAGCTGACAGCATGGTGCGCTTGTAGACCCATTACCTCAGTATGCCCTTGCTTGCTAGATCAAGCAGAGAAGGCCCCGACCTACATCAGGTCCTGGGGTCCTAGAAAAAGGAGGGTGGGTCCCCATTTCTTCCTACAACCTGGCAGATTGGAATGTTGTTGCTGCCAGCTCCCTAGGCCTTGAGCCCCCCGTCCCCCTGCCTCCAGGGGTGGCTGGAGCAGAAGGTGCGGAGCAGGCCCCTGAGAGCCTCACATCTAGGAACCTGGATCATGGGGCTCACCACCTCACCCTGCCCTCGGGGCAGGAAGACAATACACAGATCACCTGGTGTATTGTGAATAGGCAGGGGCCTGGGGTCTGGATGCAGCAGCCTGTATCCCACGCACAGCTTGGCCCCACCTGGCACGTGGGGTGGGTCATACAGGGTCCCACAGGTGTGAGGCCTCCCCAGCCCATCCCTCATCCTCGTCCTTTGCCTCCCCCTTCCCCTGCCTACCTGGTGCCCCTTTCTGGGTCTCTCCTTCCTCCACCTGTTTCTCTCCTCCTCCCACTGAAGGAAAGCCTGGGGGTCCCCAGTTCCTGATCCTGGCTCAGGCCTTGCCCTCTTCCTCCCCATCCCTTGCAGCAGGGCCTTACCATAGACCTTTACCCTTCAGTGTGACCGTGGGGTGGGCAGCCAATCCCCACTGTGGCTATGTCAGAGGTTGAAGGAGGACAACTGCTTAGACAGTTACACACCCCATCCCCAGTCCACAGATATGACCAGGGTCCAGGCGAAACATGCTCCCTAAGAAGGAAGAGCCAGGCTTGCATGAACAGGTGCCCAGAGCAGGCGTAGAGAGGCCCCAGGGCTCCGTTCCCATGGCTGGGGCATCTCGAGACCGCCACAGGGGACAGACCGGCCGCTTTCTCACGCACACTTTCCTGTCTCCTACCCTCCTCTCTGTCTGTGTCTTTGCAGCAATTTGGAAAGATTTTAGACGTGGAGATCATTTTTAACGAGCGGGGCTCCAAGGTGGGTGCCGTGCCGAGGCTGCCACCATTTCCGCGCCGGCTGTAGGTCCTGCCAGGCTAACCTGTGACATGTTCCTTCCTGGAGCGCTTCGTGCCCGAGGACCCCTGAGCAACACGGGTGCTTGTACCCCCCGCTCTCCCACCCTGCCCCAGCTGTCTGTTGTTGCCACCACACTGCTTCTTCTCTCTGAGCTGCCAGGACCTCTTGCCTGCACCCCGGAGCCCCACTCTGGGCCTGGGACCCCCGCCCAACCACTCACCCCCAGCCCCTCAGCAGCCCTTGGATGTGGCCTGCAGGCTTTGTGGAGGGACTGCAGGGGGAGCAGGCCTGGATGGTGCCTGGCAAAGACAAGCCCTGCTCCCCCTCCAGGAAAGCGAGACTCTAGACCCTGGGTTCCTAGGGTGAAGGTCGGGGGGCTGTCTTCCCTGGACTCCTGAAGTCCAGCCTCGGCCCCTGGGCAGGTTAGCATCTCTGTAGGATCGGCTTGTCCCTCAGAGGTGCCAGGCTGTCAGCTCAGGCTGGGCTCGAGTGGCCAGCAGCTGCCCACCCTGGGGCCATGCCCCTGTGCATTCTGCCAGTGGCACCAGGCAACCTCTGGGCTGCCTGAGCCTCTCTTGGACTCCCCTGACTTGGCCCCTTCTCTCTCCCTCTCTCTCTCTCTCCTTCCCTCTCCCATGGCCCTGCCCCACCCCGCCTCCCCAACTCCTCCTTTTGCCCTTTTTTCTCATCCTGTCTTCTCTCCGTGTCTGTCCTCCTCTGCTCGCAGGGTTTTGGGTTTGTAACTTTTGAAACTAGCTCAGATGCTGACCGAGCCCGGGAGAAGCTGAATGGGACGATCGTAGAGGGACGGAAAATTGAGGTGCTCAGATAAGTGTGCGGCGGCAGGGAGGTCCTGGACAACACCTGCCCCGTCCCCCTCCCCAGTCCCCCTTCAGCCTAGCACTGTCCGCCCTGCAGAGAGCCCAGTCAGTGTCCTCTGTGTGGGAGGAAGGGTCACATGGAGGCCCCGTGCTACCCCACCCTCACGTGACTGGCTCTTGTCCCAACCCATCACTTTCTCCTGCTTGATCTTAGGCTTCAGGCTCACCCAATGGTCCCCCTGTTCTCCCCACACTTTCCCATTCTAGGAAGAGCCCTGTCCCTAGCCAGACACCCAGGAGCCTCAGAACCTGTTGTTTGAAAGCTGGCTGCATTGAGGACAAGGGCCAGCCCATCTGCTGAGGAGTCTCTTCTTCACAGGAGCACTAGCTCTTGCCCCTCCCCACTGCCTGGCAATGTCCTCTTCTATAGTCCAGCTCTTGGAGGAAGAAAAGGGAGTGTCCAGCAGCCAGAAGGGCAGCAGGCCAAGGAGCCTGGGGCTCCTGGTCCCCTCCTGCTTCATGCTGTGACTCTGGTGTTGTGGCTCTGGTACCCAGAGCTGATTCCCCTAACAGCAGGGCTGAGAAAGGAGCAGGAGGAGCCTGTGGGGAACATGGGGGGAAGGTGTTGAAGCTAAGCCCCTGGATTATTCCAGTGCCCAGCAGCCTCCAGGGCCCGTGGCCAGACCCCTTCCTTAGGCTCCACCCACCCTGTTCCCTACTCCCTTCCACACAAGCTTCTTGTTTTCTGTGTTCCCTTGTGCAGTCTCTCTGGGGCTTACAAGTGTGGCATAGGACCCAGCCCCTTGGCACCGCCAGTCTAGAGCTCCCACCCACCTTGCCCCCAGGATGCAGACCCCATCAGGAAGCTTCCAGCTGTGCAGAGAAGCAGAGGAGCCCTGCCAGGAAAAGGGTGCTCCCGCGGGGCTGGGGCACAACCCTCTTGGGCACACACCTAGGAGGGCCTTGGCAGCTGCAGGAGGAGAGAACATCTCCAGAGCCCACCTGCTAGCCCACAGAAAGCTTCTCCACAGGTCTTGGTTTTCCCCAGGGGCCAAGGCTAGGTTTATTGGAGCTGGTCTGGAAAAAGCACAATCCAGTGGTCCTGGGCCGGGCTACATGGCAACTTAGGTGCCCCCAAGGGCCTCCTCTTAAGTCCCCAGCCCACTCCCTGGAAGCCAAGGGGAAGTAGGAGCAGGCGAGGCAGGACCCCTTACCCTCTGTCTCCCCTTCCCTGGACAGGTAAACAACGCCACGGCCCGAGTCATGACCAACAAGAAGACCGGGAACCCCTACACCAACGGTAAGGGTCCCAGAACAGCCAAAGCTACAGGGCTGGGCCAGCAGCCTTTGGGGAATGGAGGCCGCTGCAGACCAGCCTTCCCGGATGCTAGGTTCCCCATCCCTTCCTGGTGTCCCAGCTGTCATGCGCCTGCCCAGGAGAAGTGGATGGTCAGGCAGGCACCAACATTGCCTAACCCTCACTCACAGCTATCGTCTCCCATGAGAGGCCCCTGGGCTTTCCCAAGCATCTGGGAGGCCATGTATGCAGACTTCCGGTGCGGCAAGCCTCGGCAACTTCCTAGGTTGTTGCGTCTGTGCTCCCAGTGATTTATTTTGCAGTTTTCTCTAATAGACACACTGCCCTGATTTGCATATGCAAATATGCTGGAGGGCCTTGGACAAGCTTCTACACCTCCCAAGCCCCAGCCTCTTCATCTGCAGTGGATAGCAGATAGTGACATCCACTCACCACCCAGGGTTATTCACGACAACTTCTCCAGGTTAGGCCTAGGACCTGAGATGGAGCTGCTCCATATTTTGATGCTGATGAAAACAACTATGTCCTTTGTGCTCTAGAAGCCTTTTAAATGGATGAGGTTTCCAGGTTGAGTCCTGCTTGGCAGTCATGTAGTTCTCTCTGGTCCTCTATGCACCCAGCTATAGTGAGGGTGCTGGGTTTCCCTTGAAAATTAATCTGCTGGTGCTAAGAGCTGGGAGAAGAATCTCTGGTGGCTCCAGAGAATTGTACCATACTAGCCAAAGGTTCTGCTTTGAGCATAGCTAGTGACACATCGGGGCCTTTTCTAGTTCCTACCTATCACCAATTAGGGAACAGCTTCTGCAGCCCGGCAGTGTGGTATAGACAGCACAATTCTCCCCGCCAGCAAACTGTCCCCATGTGGAACAGAGTTTACCGTGTCATGCTCAGCCTCTCCAGCAGTCAGGTCTGCAGCATGATTCGATCTCATTGCAGGTCAGCTCCTGGGTGGGACATGGCTCTGACCAGGCCCAATTTCGAGGTGACTGTTGTGCCTGCCATGTTGCTCTTGTGAGGACTCAAGCCTCTTGTTTTTAAGAACCTCGGGGCTGGTGAGATGGCTCAGTAGTCTAAAGCACCTACTTAGAACAAGCGCTTTTTAGCAAAGCGCAGGGACCAAGTTTCAATCCCCCAGCACATGCCAGCCCCACCCCCTGGTGGGCTGAGCTGGCCACACACACACACACACACACACACACACACACACACACACAAATAAATAAGAACCTGAGGGTACCCAAACTTTGCTATGGTACAAAGTGCACCCTAACCGTGGCTTCTGGTACAGGACGTACAAGCAGTACGCATTTTCTTTTAGATAGACAAGAAAAGGAAGTAGGATCTAGGAGCGGGCATGATGGGAAGGCTTCATGAATGGAACTCTTGCCTTTTGTCCTGGGGACCATGACTAGGGGTATACTTGACCCCATAGCCACCCAGAAAGAGCTGCTTCCCAGGACAAGCTCATATACATCAATCATGGTAAAGTCCCACTTCTTTGAGATGTGGGTCTTTCCATAGCCAGAGAACTTACATGTGGCCTTGCGTGGGCCTCAAGCACATGCTTGTGTTCTGAAGCTTGGTGTGGCTGGATGTGATTGGGACAGCCACGATGACGTGGCCAGTGTGAATGCCTGGCACTGTCCCCTGGGCATCCAATAGCTCTCTAAAGCCTAGACCGGGGCAGGCCACACATGGACATCCACTAGAACATCTGTCCTGAGGTCCCTTATTTTAATCCATCCAAGCAACAGCTGCATATACTGCTGAGGCAGATGCCACTTTCAATCACTGTGCCTCACCGTCCCACAAGGAGAGGAGCCAGTTGGTTTAAGTGGCTTCAGAGTGTGGTAGACATATCAACAAGGTTGTGGTGACCAAGGGAACTACAAACCGCTGTCCACTCTTCCCTCAAGCTTCCCTGTACTGCTAAGCCTTGGTTGGTACACCCAAGTTATCACAACTACTCAGGAGGCTGAGGCAGGAGGATCACAAGTTCAAGACCAGCCTAGGTAATTTAGTGAGAACCTGCTCTAAATAAAGAAAAAGAGCTGGGGATGTAGCTCAGTACCAGAGTGAGTGGCTTCAGTCTGTTCTTCTGCTATACCAACCCACCTCCCACTGCTTTCTGGGAAAGACTGAAGTCTGGAAGGAGGGATATGCCTTGCTGGCCAATGGAGTGAAGCAGAAACCTCTGTCCATCCCTGCTGCCAGTGCGGTCTACCTTACATGCCATCTCCTGGCAAGAATCGCAGGCTGCAGAGGAATACCGTTGACTTCTCTTCGGCTGGTCTAGAGTGGCCTGTGGTGCTTTAACCCTGAGCACTCAAATTCTCCAGGCTCTGGCGGAACTGCAGAAAACCAACTGAGGTGATCCTATTTATAGTAGAAACAAAGGGGCTTCCAGGTGAGTCTCTGGCTGCCACTGTGACCTGTGAGATTCCAGGTGGATGTGGGGCCAGCAGAGGTGGGTGGAGCCAGAACAGACAGGTAGGGGCCCCCCCTTCATCCCCCTGGAAGCTCAAGTAACAGATGAGAGTTCCCAGGACTTCTGGTGCATACATTCAGCCTCCCGGACCCATTGATCCAGTGTGGACCCAAAGGAGCTACTGAGATGGAGCCTGGGGAAGGGCCTGGGTCAGCTCCGGGCTCTGTCCCATCATGGGCATTTTACCAGGAAAAGTCCATTCTTGGGGGTGGGAGGTTTTCCCAGATGAAATGTTTCTTCCCTCCTACCCTTGGATTTATGGGAGATTCCAGAGTTCCAGCCATGGTGGGCTGGGGGTAGAAAGCAGCTCACTACCATGGAGGGGTGGAGAGCGGGGCCCTGGGAGCACAGTCCCAGACACACTATCCTGGATGCCTCCTGTCCACTACTCCACAGTAGGGTGTCTGGGTTTGGGGTTCCCACATGGAGTCCACCCCTGATGTCCATGGCATCCTCTCTAGGACAGGTCTTGTCAGCTGGCCAGTGGGTTCAGGCCCCCTATTTCTCCTCATGCAGTGCAGAGGGACAAGGAGTTGGGCCTGCAGACCATGCTGCACAGATAGGACCCCAGCTGGGCAGAGGAGGTGGAGGGCAGCCCAGTGAAAGAACTCCTCCTGCCCACCCTGTCTGAATGCCTGGCTGGAACCTGCTCAAAGCCACTGGTTTCCAACCCCTTGGGCTTTAAGGTGGAGTCAGATCTTTGTCTTTAGATCCCAAGGGGAGAAGACAGGCCCACTGACAGGAGGGGAGAAGCCACTTGCTGATACCAGCTGGGACCCAGGGAGGGAGTGGCTTGAGGCTGCAGGTTCAAATCTGTACCCTCCCCACCTTTATAACCCAAGGTCCCCCTGAAGCCTCCACTTCACCATCAGTAAAATGGAAAGGGCGATGCCTACCTGTTGGTGGCAATCACCCCAAAGGTTTAGTGCTCTGGAACTATTAATAGACACTCTTGTCCCCAGACCAATGGCTGTTCCTCTCCCTCCTGGCCCGCAGTGAGCAGCTGTTCACACAGGAGAGGAAACCCCTGGGAACTAGAACAGGAGGTGGGAGAGGCCCCCAGACACAATCCCTCAACCCAACTGTGACTGCAGTGTTTATAAACCACTTTCCACCTCCCCTTACAAACCCTGAGCTTCAGGGACTGGTGACTTGGGGTGCGGGTGCCCATGAACAGACTGCAGAGGACAGAATCCAAGAAGAACCTAGAGGGGCAAGTCGAGAGTGAAATGGCCCCAGCTGTTCCTGCCCTTGGTGGCTGCAGTGCCAAAGGGGCCTCAGGGCAGACACAGGCCCTGCCCTTGGAAAGCCCAGTGGGGCAGCCTGCTGTCTCTGCTGTCTCTGGCATCACAGGAGTACATTAAGTTGGCTTGGGTGGATCGTGACCAGCCTGTTTCTGTTCTAGGTTGGAAGCTAAATCCTGTGGTAGGAGCAGTCTATGGGCCTGAATTCTATGCAGGTAAAGTCAGGGGCAAGTGGGCTTGGCCATGGGAGGGGACAGCATCCAGGACTGGGGTTGGGGGGCTGGGTGCCAGGCTGGGCTCTCTCCTGCCCTCCCTGGGCCTTCCCTCTCCCACACTTTCTCCTGCCCCTTTCCTGCAGTGACTGGCTTCCCCTACCCTACCACGGGCACCGCTGTTGCCTACCGGGGCGCACACCTCCGGGGCCGGGGCCGGGCCGTGTACAACACGTTTCGGGCTGCACCGCCTCCACCCCCCATCCCGACTTACGGAGCGTGAGTACCTACTGGGGGAGCTGGAGGGAGGCCCAGGGGATGGGTCATGGGAGGCCCAGGGTGGAGGGTGAGGGTCTCGGCAGCCTTTCTGGACCTCCTGCATCCTCAGTACCCCAACACCACTTCAGGGGACGCCAAGGGTCATGGCCTGGGTATCTTAATGGGGCATCCTCGGCCCTTTGGTCCAGTGAGGGGCTTCTTGGAGCCCTTCCTGGTCCTTTTCCCTGGGTTCCTCTGCCCCACCACTGAATGGGGGGGACAGCTGCCTGTGGGAGGATTGGGAGGGCATGCAGGACTGGGCTTACGGGCCCCGGGTCTTGAGAAAGGAGCTGCCCAGCAAGGGTGTTACTCTATTGTTATACCAAACAGGGCACTGGAGCAAACGCTTGTTAAAATGCCAGTCCCGTGGGCGGGGCTGGCACCGTGCCCCCTCCCTCCTCAGCAGACTCCGGAGCCGGCCTACCCCACCTCTCCAGCGTTCCCACCACTCTCTTGTCCGTTTGCTTCCAGGGTCGTGTATCAGGATGGATTTTATGGTGCTGAGATTTATGTAAGTGCACCCATGGAGGGGGGGGGCAGCCCTTCTGTCTGTCTGCCTCTCGCAGCCCCTCTCTCATTCCTGTGGGGGAGGGCAAGGGTGCCAGTCTGCAGAGAAGGGCATCCGTGGGGACTCCAGCCTAGCCCAGTCTGGGTTTGCCTTGCTCATTGAGAGAGCTGCTTATGGCTCTGAGCACCCTATAAGCGGAAGGGAGCGTGTCTGCTCGGGAAGGCCCCACATGATTTCGGCAGGGGGTGTCTCTCCCTGACCCCTGACCACACTGAGGTTGTTGAGTTAGCCCCCAGGATACTTCATCCAGTGCAGAAGCCCCAAGAGAGACCAGGAGGCAGGGACCTAAGGGGACCTAGATCGGGTCCTGTGGCTTTTCCCTTTGTGGAACTGTTCCCTCTCTGGCACAGAGTCCTCTGAGATACCCCACTCACTGTACCCAACTGCACCTTGGTCCTGGGCAATCTCCCATAATCAGTCACCCACTCATCTGAGGCTAAGACAGCATCTGAGTCAATGCTTTCTTGGGCCCTTTGCCCTGAGCTGTGTCCAGGATCTTATTGAGTCACCCAGGGGATCCCTGTGTCTGTCAGAATCCAAGCCAGAGGTTGCTGGCCTCTTGGCTGTGAGTGCCTACTTTTTGCCAAGGGCCAGCAAACACCCGTAGGGATAATTGATACCCACTGGTGCCTGCTGAATGCACAAATGGGTATGAGAACGAACGAACGAACGAACGAACGAACGAACGAACGAACGAATGATTGAATGGGCCTGACTCTTCTCAGCCTGTGCCAGTTGGCAGTCTTCAGACCTCCCTTAGACCAGAAGCCAGGTGCCCGGGTAGGCATCATCTAACTTCCCCAGGCCAAGGTGAAGTGGGAAGGCTGAGGTCTGAGATGGTCCACAGCCCCCGACCCCCAAGATCCCAGCCCTGCAGTCTGTGTCCGCCCCAGGCCCCCGGATGCGCCTCACTAAGTCTGTTTGCCATCTCTTCCTCCCACCTACCCTGCAGGGAGGCTATGCAGCCTACAGATACACTCAGCCAGCGGCAGCGGCGGCGGCAGCCTACAGTGACAGGTGAGGCTGGGGGCAGCGAGCTGTCCTGGGAGAAGATAGCCCAGGGTCCCCCAAAGGCTGAGTCCAGATGGACAGGAGTTCTTTTTCCCTAAAGAGGGCCTGGTTGTACCTGGGCCTGGTGGATGCAGGGTTTGAACAAGAAAGCAGTTTCAGCTGTGGTTAGTGAGCCCCTGTAAGACTGGGGAGACCAGGGGAGCAGAGGACAGCTCTGTCCCCAAACCCTGTGGTCTCGAGGCCTCGTGTGAGAAGGCTAATCACAAGCCTCCCATGGGATGTGATGAGACCAGGGTGGGCACTGTTTTGGGCCACCTCCCCCATCTCTGAACAGGCCTACATAAAAGCCCTATGTGGCTTGCTTTGGTTGGGGTGTCAGGAACCTCAAGTTCCCCCCAGGGGGTGGCTGAGCCTATCACCTTTTCCTGGGACTCTTGGTCTGGTGGCCACAGAGTTCCTGCTTGGGCGCTGCAGTGGCAGTTCACTCGGATGGCTGTGCCTCTTGTTCACATGTCCGTCTGGCCTGGAGCCCCCAGGAGCAATGGGACCCGGAGTCTGCACCCTCCCTGCAGCCTCTTGCTCAGCCCCACCAGGTGTGCATGGTGTACACAAGTCCTAGGGCCCAGCCCCGTCATCTAAGAAGCTACTGTGTCACTGCACAAATGAATTGAGAAGGTCGTCTAGGGACACCATGCCACCTCCTTGGTGGTGACATTGCTGGTCCCTATATCTTGGGTCTTTCTCAACAACTGTTGCTCTTCTTTCTGGGCATGGAGTCTGAGTTCCCTCCAGACCTGCTTACTAAGGACTCTCTCCTTCCTTAGCACTGAGTAGGGGTGTGCAGCCCATTGTCAGGGTCTGCACACATTGGATGCAATGCAAGAGTAGCCCTCGGGGTCCCAGGAACTTCCTTCCAGACAGGAAGGGAGGACGGACTATGAGGACAGCCTCAGTGGAAAGGGAGGGGCTTTGTGGCCGGGACCCCGGAGAGGGTCCTGAAAGGAGGCCAGAGGCCTGCAGCCCCTCCCTCACCTGCCCACCACATGCTGTCCCTGCTCTTCTCCTAGTTACGGCAGAGTCTATGCAGCTGCTGACCCCTACCACCACACCATCGGCCCCGCAGCGACCTACAGCATTGGAACCATGGTGAGGAGGCTGGGCCCCCCTGGCCTTGGGTGCCCATAATGCTGAGGGTGGGGTTGGGGGGCATCACCATGGGTGGGTGGGGCAGGCCCTTAGGAGAGACTGAGACCTCTAGCCAGTGCCTCTTTTGGTGCCTCTTAAAGGACAACAGCCTGGGGCCTGAGCTTCAGTGGGGAAGGGCGGATGAGAGTTTGCCCCTTTGTGCCCTCAATCACTGAAGGGAGTCGGGTTTGGCCAGACGGCCAGCGCCCAGCAGCTGATTCCCTGGGAAGCACCCTAGTGGGACCTGTTGTGCTGAGCCCCATCACCGTAGCTCTGATAAGGCCCCACCCTCCCCAGCAGAGGCCCTAAGGGTCATAGTTCCAGCCTCGGCCTCCCCTCTGAGGGGTGTGGAAGCCAAGCCGAGCATTGGCCTTTTCTCACATGGGTAGGGGACCAGAGACCACCCACTGTTTCCCACCAAGCCCCTCTTCTAGACTCCTCTAGGGCTCTGGGGCTCCCCAGTGGCCCTGGTGGGGTGGGGGTGCACTCTGCCGCAGGAGGCGTGAAGGCCGTGTGTGTGTGTGTGTGTGTGTGTGTGTGTGTGTGTGTGTGTGTGTTTGGCCAGCCGTGGACACGTGTAGCCCCACCCACTCTGCACCCTGGTTCTGTTCCAGCGCACACCCACCTCTCCTGCCCACCCCACCCCAGAGGTGTTAATGTCTGTTTTTAGCTAGCTTGGCATCCAGCATCAAAGATGAAAACGCTGTGCGGGGAGTCAGGAGGGAGGAGGTTCAGAGGCAACGTGGAATTTTTTTTTTTCCACCTCCCTTGATCTTAATTATTCCCTCCCAACTTGTATCTTGTCCTTTTGGATTCTGAGCAAGCCTCAGACATCCAAAGCAGTCTATGAGGGGCGTGGGCAGCCACAGAGCTCAGGCTTCTCAGGGCCACAGTAGCTCTCCCGGTAGAGGCCACAGCATCTTGTTTGCAGGCCTGGAGCCCCTGGACAGTTTAACCCTCAGCACAACTGCTAGCTAAAAGCTTTCATTAATTCACAAGGGTCCTCGCTCAGGTTTTCCTTTTTTATTTTTAAGATTGTCTATTTTTCTGCCAAATTTTCTCCTCCGACATTTGCCATTTTCTTTCTTTTTCTGGCCAAACTGGTGGGTGGGTGGGAGGCTTCTTTCCAGAATGCCACCCCAGGGCATTCAAGAGAAAGACACAGAGCTGAGCCCAGGATGCCCCCAAAGATGAGCAAGCCCCAGGTACTCCTAGAGACAAAGCCCCTCAGGGCTGTGCCCGGCAAGTGTGCCCCTCAGGCTGGCGCTAGCTCCAGTGGCCCACGCAGACACACTACGTGGCCCCAGGAGGCAGGCTCATGCTAGGCTCTCCAGGCACCTGAGACAGACAGGGCATGCCAGAGCGGCCCAGAGAAGTGGCCCAGAGGCCACTCAGAAGATCCTGGAGCATTCCCTCCTCTTGGCCAAGACCACAGCCCCGACCCCCTGTTGCCATGACAATCTGATGTCCACTTTTCCCAAGGAAAACTGTAAGCGTGAAAGAAAATGGGATTTAGCTGTTTCTCTTTTTGTTTTTCCTTATTTTTTTTTTTTCTTTCGGCCTTTTCCCCCTACCAAAAGATGGCACTGATTGGCTGTTTTTCATCTTTGATGTTGCAGGCTAGCCTCTGCCGAGGAGGGTACAGCCGCTTCACCCCCTACTAGCAAGAGACCCACCCCTAACAGCATTCACACTACTGCCTATTCCAAACCAAACCCTACAGCCCCAACACCAGGCACAGCCACCAGGAGGACAGTGCACCCCTCCCGGTCAGCAACATGCACCGCTGACCCTCTGCGACTCTAAAATCCATAGATTATTTCCAGCCAGCTGGTCTCCCCACCCCACCCATGATGGTGTGTGTGTCTTTGACCCTGGTTTTTCCTGTATGTCTGAACCGTGGTTTCCTATCTTGACTTTGTTGATGTTGTACTACCCGAGCCTTCAGGTATGGTATGCGCAGAATGGGGGCCACACTGGGGAGGATAAGCATTTGTACCCTAGCAGGGTGACACCCCTATCTCCTGGTGGCCCCAGTTGCACACAACTCTAGAAACACTGGCTGGGCCTTCCCTACATAGCCTGGTACTTCTGGTGTTCAGTGATGCAGGGGGTGAGGGGCTCAGGCCCTTTGGTCAGTGGGTTTTCTGATCCCCAGGGGGATACCTGTCCACCTACATCTGATAATTACAGGAGTAGCTGTCCCCATTGTCCCATCCCCTGTTCCGCTGAAGTTAATATTTTAATTAAATTTTATTGATGACGTTTCCTGCCAAAGCAGTCACAGGCACATTGCTCAGTGTGCAGACCACTGTGGTCACACCAGTTCTGGGGACTTCTTAGTGCTATTGCAAGAAGTAGACCCAAGGAATGAAGTTGTCAAAGAAACGCCCAAGGCCACCCCACCCTGCCCAGCACAGAGGTCCTCCCTGCACCCACTGCCTGCACCTGGCACCTGCATCTGGCAGAGCCTAGGCCCCAGGGCCCCCAGTCCATAGGTGGGATTTCAGCACTGAGGTGGGGCCGAAGCACCGCCAGCCAGTCCCCAGACATAACATGCCTTTTCATTAGGATCCATTTCAGAAGGGAAAGTCATCCCTTTGAGTGGCAATGCCTACTCATAGCCACTCTAGCCTCACTTAGACTATGTGCCCAGGGGGACACACAGCCACCTTACAGAGCCCTGGAGGGAATGCAGGCTGGGACCTGAGGTCAAACCTGGAGCCCAGGGAACTGGGCAGAGTCCACCAAAACAGGCGAGGTCTGTATGTGCAGGAGGGGAAGCAGCCCTGGCCTCTGAACGCCAAGGCAGATGGAGCTGCAAGACCCTGATGTGGAGGGGTGTCCTGCTTCCTCTTTTCCCATTGAGCCTCTCCATCGTGTTCTGTCTCCTGCCTTGTCCTGTTGGTCTAGACAGGCCTGGTCTCACTTCCCCATCAGAGGTACACGTGGCTCCTGCTAGCCAGATTCCTGCTGGTTCTGGACCTGCAACTCTGTCCCAGTACCCCCTCAGTGCACCCCCCCATGCCCAGCTGCACCCCTACCCAGCCAGGAGGCCTGTCTGCTTTAGGTTCAGCTTGCAGGAGAGAGTGGGTCCCCAAAGCTAAGGGCAGCTTCAGGGGGTGTTGGAACTAAAAGCTGGGCCCAGGCTGTGGGTCATGTGGCCCCCATGCCAGAGGCTGCTCCAGAGAAACTGCAAGTCCTGCCTTTCTGTTTCTGTTGTAGTGAAACCTTCCACCGTTTCCTTCTTGGACCATGAAGGGCAAAAAACAAAAAAACAAAAAAAATCACAAAACAAAAAACAAAACAAAAAAAGATGTTAAGATCCAAGCAACAAAAAAATCAACCAAACCAAGAGGCATCCAACCAAGTCCAAGTCCGCGTCTGGCGCACACCCGCACCGAGGGAGCACGTCCCGCTGGGCGCGTGGAAAGCGGCCCTGCCCGGCTGGCCGCAGTAGGAGAGTTGGAGGGAAGGGGCCTGGATGTGTGGCCAGCAGGGGCTCTGTTTTCTATCCAGTCTTCCTTTCAGGCCCCTGTAACCCCGGCAGTGGGGTACAGAGGTGGAGCAGGCCTGGCCTCGGGGAGGAGCAATCAGGACAGGTGGGCTGTGCCTGGAGGGGCTGGGGGCGAGGAGGGGCATCAACCCCTTGGGCTATGCAGTGCCCCCTGTGCCCTTGGCTGTCTGTCCAAGCAGCTGCCCTGGGGTCCAACTCCAATGCAAAGGGCTGACGTGGCTCCAGAACTAGGGGTGCCTGGGCCCTGGTCCCCACAAGTGCAGAGCACAGAAAAGAAGGCCCGGCTGGCCAGGAGCCACTCCAAGCAATGTGAATGTGAACAGGGGCCCTGAAGCAGAGGAAGGACTTGCACTTAGCGGCCATCTCTCCCTTCCTGGAGGAGGCCAACCTCATGCTACCTACCTGCTGGGACCTGGCCTGCCCACGTTTTCCCTACTGGGGAGGAGAGAGGGACACGGAATGGCGCGCTTGACTCCACTTCCAAGGTGGGAGTCACGGCAACGCTGTGGGCCTGGGCAGTGCCAGCCAGAACAGATCTGCAAGAAGAGTGAGGGGTGGAGAGGTCTGAGCTGGCCCTGCCCCGGGGGACAGCTGGGCCACAGTGGAAGTGGTGGGAGTCAAGGGTAACACAGGCCCCAGGGGGCAGGCAGGCAGAGAAGGGAGTAGATGGCAGGAAGAGCTCCTGGTGAGGCAGGGATAGTTGGAGTGGGGAAGCAGCAAAAAATTACAAAAATCATGGGCTCCTGACGTGACTCCACTGTCTCATGAAACTTCAAAAATAAAAAATACACCTCACTTTCTATTCAGCATCAGCTACTGACGCTCTGGAAACGAATCCTCCTTTTCTATTCCTGTTGTACATAGCCCCTCGCCTGCCTCCGGCTCTGTCCTCTGCAGGGCCCCGTGCCCTCTGCTGTTTTGGACCCTTTTCTTGCAGCAGCTCGGAACCCCCTCGCCCCGGGCCCCCAACCCCCAGGACTGCAGCCGAGCCCCAGGCTTCCTTTCTTACCATTCTGTATGCTTCCAAGGTGTGACCATTCAAATTAACAGTATTATTATTATTAAGATTATTAATAAAGATTTCTTTCTTCAAACCAGGACAGCTCTTTCTGATTTAGCAGCTCCAGACACTGAGGGTTGGAGGGCACAGGCCGAGGCGTGTGGCCTGGCCGAGGACTACCAGGTGGCTCTGGGGAAGAGGAAGACTCTCTGGACAAGACATTAAAGTCTCAACCCTCCTCTCCAGACTCGCTGGATGGACAGATGGACAGGCACTGCTGCCAAGTGGCACCTGAATGCATTACCTCTCCAGGGCAGGATGCACCCTAGAAGGCTGGGAAGCCCCACAGCTGGGGTAGTCACCTGATTGTAGGATGGCAGGGAAGTGGGGGCTGCTGCAGAGGCGTCTACAGCTCGACCCCAAAGGTGCTCAGGGAGCCCTTGGTGTCCTGGCCCGGATGGCCAGAGCAGCTGCACTACTTCGAGGTAAATGTACCTTTCAGGCCCTCTCCTAGATGGGAGGAGGGACGGAGGAGGGGAGACTGAGAACACCCAAAGAGCTTAAAAGCAGGGCTGGGGCAGGAAGCCAGATCTCACCCAGACTCCAGTTCTCATTTTTCACCACGTCGGATAATTTATTTCAGAGCGATTACACCCACCAGAGGGGCACAGCTTAAATGCCGGCAGATTAATTTTCCTGCACCGGAGCCTGTGCCGAGGGGCCCAGGGGCTGTGCTCTGGGGGAGTGGTGTTGTGTGGTTCTGCCGAGCGCCATGCTCCGCTAAGCCCCCTTATTTCTAATTGCTTGCTCACCAGACTGTGAGGAAATAATTGCCACTATAAATTTTCCTTCCTTCTCTACATAAAATATTCGGAGGAACTTTTAAAAAAAGACCTCAGGAAATGAAGGGAGCAGGCATTAGTGATGCAGCGTCCAATATCGAGGCGCTGGGGCTGAGAGGCCAGCTAGGCAGTCCAGCCTGCCCTGCTCTACTGCCCAGGACACTCTCCTCGGGGACACAGGGTGCAAGGCCAGAAGGCACTATCCACCCTGCTTCCCAGTGGAAGAGCCTTTAGGGTGCTCAGGGAACTGGCAACACAGGAAACGCCACAGAGGAAGCAAGAACAGCTAACCTGGCAGACGCTGCAGCCCCTCCCCCGCCTAAGCCTGGCCCAATGGCTCCAGGGCCTTGAGAAGAGCCCAGGGCCTAGCAGCCTCAGGTTTGAAGCAGTCAGTGAGCCAAAGCCCTCACTCATCTGTCCACTAAGACATCAAAGTGTTCCCAGCTAGGAAAGAGCCCAGAACCCAGCCCCAAGCTCCTGCCTTCTTCCAGTGTGCTCAGCAGGAGAGGCCCTGGGCTAGCAGGGAGGTGGGAATGGGCAGAGCTCAGGTCCTGCAGGAGACCATTGGTCTCCAGGGCCAGTGTTCAGTAGCTGAGCTGGACCCAGCCCATCAGTCTCCTCCCAGGGCAGAAACGGTTGCTGCAGCCCTGCCTTACTACAGGGTAAAGTCCATGGGCCTGGCCTGTGTGTAACCCTGTGGTGTCACAGTGTCCTAGATCTCAGCACATCTAAAGCATAGGAGGACAGAGCTGGGCAGGCACACCCCACCACGGACTTGCTATGTGGCCCAAGGGTGAAACACCCCAAGAACGTCTGACCGTGCTCAAGATCGTGACAGACCCCATGTGGCACCTAAGGGGGGTGGGAATAAATGCAGCAGTCCTGTCAGACTACACTTGGCTGGAAGCTCCCCACACGGCACTGTCACTGAAGCAGGGCAGGAGGAGGAGGCTGCAGAAGGAGCGGTTTCACTGTGAGCCCAGGGCCGCAAGAGCTGCAGCAGAGGTGAGGGGACTTCGGCTGTAGGGATTGCTACCTGCCAAAACCAGCAAGCCCCCGAGGTGGCTTGACCAGTGACACACGGTGCTCCTGAGCAGTGCCACACAGGGCCAGCCTGACCCTGAGCTCCAGTCCTGAACTCCAGGGGCCCCCTCTGCTGCTCCGGGGCCCCTCCTTCCTGTCCCAACCCTCACAGCCACTGCATTCCAGTCCTCAGAGATCCTCTGATTCAAAGGATCAGTCTATATTCAAGTCCAATTGTGATCTGCAGGAATAAAAAGTCAATGTTCTCAGCATCAACAACTTTCAACCTATTTGAAAATATCCTTTATGGAGTTTTTTGGGCAAATCCTCCCCACATCATTTCCCTTTCCCCCCAGAACCACACACTGAAGAGGGTTACATGCAAACCCAGGCCCATGTGCCCACTCTGGGACCATCATTTGGCAAGCTAGCTTCATCTGGGGGACCAGGCCTTCTTACACCTGGCCCTACTTACCAGGGTCCCAGACAGGCTAGGGGCAGCCAGCCAGGGGGCAACCTGAGTCTCTGGGAAGGAGGTGCGGGATCATGGGGGCATGGAGTACAGCAGGGCCGCCCTGCCCCACTCGGCCTGAGGGACCCGGAAGCCCTCCCTGGGGACAGGCTCCACCAGGAACTCCACGCGGGCCTCCTGTCTGGGCCCAGCAACCTCTACCACCAAGTCCACCACACGATACTGGTTGACAAAAGCCAGACCCAGGAATGCAGGCTGCTCTGGCCCCAGTGACTCCCTGCCTGGAGAGCTGCCTCTCGTCCCCTCCCAGCAGTGGACTCTGAAGCAGCGGGCTTGCAGGAGGAGGTAGGACCAGTGCAGAGTGCAGCTGAGCCTCAGCCGGCCCAAGGGCTCTTCCGGCTCAGAGGCAGGCCACTGCCAGTGGATCTGCGTGACTGTGACATTCTGCACCTGGGGCAGGGGGGCCAGCAGGCTGTTGGCATCCACCACCTGGTGGGAGAGAAGGCTCAGACAGCTGATACCTGGGGAGGCCATGGGCGCCCACCCTGCACCCCACCCCAGCTCCCTCAGGACCCTCTGCTCCCCCCAGCAGGCAGGGGGCGTCATCCCTGCTGGATGCACACCTGGATCTCTCCCAGGCGACAGATGAAGCTCTTTTCCTCCTGACTGCCCGGCGGTCGTGCCAAGTTCACAAAGAGGTCCTGCAGGAGGCACCCACGCAGGTTCACCTCGTAGCACCTGGGAGGGCACACAGCTAGTCACAGGCTGGCTCAGCACAGTGGCACCAATGCCAAAGGGCCCCAGCCACAGCCGAATAGGGAACTGTCCCAGGGTATTCCAAGTTGTGGGGGCCCTAGAACTAAGGAAGTTCCCCCACAGTGACCTTGAGCACTCATAGGACGGTGAGCCCAGGACATCTCCCTTCTCCCAGGGATTCTCAGCAGGGGACACTGCCTCCTCAAGTACCGGTGAGCCCAGGACATCTCCCTTCTCCCAGGGATTCTCAGCAGGGGACACTGCCTCCTCAAGTACCGCTGCCACTGCTCCCTCCCGGCTCAGCAGGAAGTAGGGGCACTCACCGCTGGATCCAGCCTCCACGGAGCTGCTGGCCACAGCGGCCTGCCCATCGGGCCAGTTTGGTGGGGGGCACCCGGAGGGGCTGAGGTCTGTGCCTTGAACCTGTTTCTGCTACAAGGAGAGACAGGGGCTTGAGAAAAGTGATCTCAAAGAAAAATGTGGGCCTGGGAGTAGAGGGAATAGGATGTGCCCTTTGCAGAAAAGGCCAGGAGCCCAGATCAGACCCTGGAGCAGAGGCTCTGGGGCCACCAGAAAGGGCTCAGAGGAGAACGAATGAGACCCATGCTGGGCTCGCCCAGCCTGGCTTTTCCCAACTTGCTATCTCTCCTCCCCCTTGGCTGCCTTTTGAAATGCCCTCCCCAGCAGGAGTTCCACCCTGCCTAGGAGGCTGCCAAGGACAGAGGACAGAGGTTCCAGCTCTGAAGTGAGCCCCGTGTCCTGACCACGACCACAGGCTGCCGCGGCTCCCACCTGTGCTCGCCTAGCCTTCCTCCCCCAGAGGTCCTCCACAGCCAGCTCCTCACCATTCAGCACCGAGATACTGCCGACGTGACAGCTGCCAGAGTCCCCAGTAGTGAGCTCCAAGGCAACCATGACATCCGTGGACCCTTCAAGCTTATACACCAAGGACAGGAAGATTTTGTGCGGTGCTGGGACCTGCAGGGAAAACAACCTGGAGGAGAAAGACCCCGTGAGAGGCTAGGAATGGGCAGAGACACTGGCACTTGCTCAAGTCATGCAGCTCAGCCCCATTCCACCAGGGACAGGAAGCCTAGAGGCCAAAGCTCCGTGCTGGCCCCGCTGCTTGGGGCCAGATGCTCCTGCAGGCAGGGCGAGGATCTGGCCACTCACTGGCTCCCTCACCATCTGGGGCAGTCCCACTCAGAGGCCGAGGGAAGGGCACATCTGGGACAAGGCATCGGGGTGTAGCTCAGGGCTGGTTTTAGTTCTGAAAATGACAAAGCCCTAAAGATCTCCTGCATGACACTATCCATAGCTGGTACTGCTATCAGGATACTTCCGAGCAGGTCTAATGGTTTCACATTATGTAGGGGTATTTTAAAAATTTATTTGGTACAGGGGTTCACTCCACAGCTCAGACTCATAGTGATCCTCTTGTTTCTCCTCAGCACTGGGATTACAGGCATGCGCCACCACCCTTAGTCTTAGTGGCTGGCTCAGCGCGCTTGGGATTAAGGTCAGCATGGCATGTGGTGCCGGGGATTGAACCCCAGTCCCTGTGCATGCCTAAGCAGCATAGTCTGCTGAGCTAGCTCGCTGGCCCTTGTGTGTGTGTGTGTGTGTGTGTGTGTGTGTGTGTGTGTGTGTGTGTTTAACCATGATTTTAAAAGAAATCTGGGTTCTGCCTTCTGTCCTCTACTGCCCCACTGTCCTGCTTTGTGACTGACCCAGAGGAAGACGCTGATAGCCCCCACACCCGCTTCATCACTCACACACCTCACAGCCACATTGCCAATCTCAGGTGGGATCACCCCCTGCAGAAGCAGGGAGCTGCCCCCGTGCCAGGAGTCTGCCAGGCAGCAGCGCACCTTCACCCAGCCCTGGCTGTTGCCGGGCAGCTTGTGTTCACCAAACAGGGGCTGTGTTTCTTGGGCACTCAGGTGGTACCAAGGCCCCACAGCCTGCTCCTAAAGGAGAGGGCAGAACCAGACAGGCGTGAGGCCTTCTTTGCAGTGGGCAACAGAGCAGGTAAGGAGCAGGGACAGGAAAGACCGCCATCCCTCCTGCGCACACCCCATGGCTGCACTCCACCCAGCCCAGCTGAGGGCAGGCAACGGTCATAAAGGAAAAGCCCTTCCCCCATGGCGTCCACGTGACACAGTGGTCCCCGCACCTGTCCATAGCAGATCCTTCGTGTCCCCATGCCCAGGCAGAAGGATGTGACGAAGGGCAGGGAGCAGATGCTATGAGTAGGTAGGTAGCGTTCTAGCAGATTCCAGAACCTGCCAGAGACAGAGGGAGGCCACAGCTCAGACCAGAGTACAGTGGCCTTCAACATCCTCACACCTAAGGAAGGCTGTGACCGGAGCTTCTCCTGTGCCCCATCTCCGAGACAGGCCTTCGCACCACACAGACGAGCCCCCAAACTCTGCTCCCTCCTGCCCAGCTGGGCTCCAGAGGTCCCACAAAGCTTAGGTAGCCCACGAGTCCCCTCATCCTCGTAGCTGCCCGCACACAGCAGGACTCACTTATCCTGGTTCTGGAAGAAGGTGTTCTTTTCCAGGCATTCGTACACCCAGCCGGGGGCAAAGAGAGCTACAGAGAAGCCGTGCTTTCGGATCAATTCCAGCGACTGGGGGACAGAAGACAGGGAGATGCTGATATCAGCCACAGCAGGACTTCAGAGCCCAGGCAGGGCCCCTGGACAGCACACTTCCAGGTCACAGGGGCAAGACCAACACAGTTGTCCACACCCATCCAGTCTTCCAGGGGCTTTATCGCCATCATTCCACAAGACAGCCAGTGGAGGGCGCTAGAGAGGCAGCAGGAGAAAGGCCTGAAGGGCTGAGGCCTGGAGGCGCTGTCCACAGTGCTCACTCTCCTCCTCTTCCTCACTCCTTTGCTCATCCACAGCTCATCATAGGATTAGAATCAATGGGACAGAAGATTCTCCAGCTACTGGGTTCATATTCACTCAAAGCTTGGCCAGGTGTGGTGTTACACACCTATAATCCCTGCACCCTCGGAGGCCGAGGCAGAAGGATCTCAAATTCAAGCCCAGCCTGGGCAAATAAATTAGTGACTGTGACTGTCTCAGAAAGGGAGGGAGTACTGGTGCTGGGAATGTAGATCAGTGCCAAGGTCCTGGGTTTGATCTCCAATAGTTCTTTTTGTTTTTGTTTTTTGGTTTTTTGGGTCTTTTTAACCTGCTGTCCAGAAGGGGGCGGCACTGACAGGCAGGAGACTAGAACCACAGCGCCCCAGGCAGGTGCGTTGCCTGGTGCCCTCCTTCCTCATTGCCAATGCCACCTGCCCCAACCAGAAACTTCCCTTGTCACTACAGGAGCAGGTCTCCAGCAGCAGCACCGCACCTCTGCCTCTGACCCTGGGCTGCCAGGAGAGGCACCGCAGTCCCACCTGCAGCCTCTGTGCCTACCCGGTGGGGCAGTAGGTAAGTTCAAGTCTCCTCAAAGCCCACAGTCCAGAAAAGAAGTCATGGTAAGCCAAAGAGGGGACCAACATGGGAACAGGACACTTCTGTCCACTGTCACCAAGACAGAGACGTCCATCTGTGCTCAGTGGAACACATCTGTAACCTCACAACTCTGGGAGGCTGAGGCAGGAAGACTGAGGCAGGAACTTAATGACTTACTGAGACCTCTCAAAATAAAAAGGATGTAAAAAGAGCTCAGGATGAAGCTCAGCCAAAGGCCTTTCGTGAGATCAGTTTAGACTCAAAACACATCACCAAGGCCCCTCAGCGCCTGTTTCACCACTCTGGGAAGAACAGATGCCATTGTTCTTTCTCTTGAGACAGAGAAGAGAATATTCCTAAGGAAAGGAGGCCAGGGAGGGCACACAGGCCACCAGCCCACTGGTACAAAGGGTACACCTACCTTGTTTGTGTCAAACCGGCCTCCAACCACAGTTCCGCGGGCGAACACGTCCACACCCACATATACATCGACCAGGCGCTCGCCAGCCTGTCCCAGCATCCGCTCCAGGTGCTCCTCCCGCCAGTTATAGTTGGTGAAGAAGCCGTCACAGGACTCAAAGAAGATCCTGAGAAGTGACAGGGAGCTGCTGAGGCCCGGGCATGGCAGGCCGGGGTGCCCACCCAGCAGTCATGGTTCTCAATGCTCTCAGCCCCTCAGTGATCCGGACAGCAGTGGCCCTGGGCTCCAGTTTGCTCGCAGGAGCAGCCCTAAGTAGTCACCCATAGCCTCCGCGACCCACCAGGGAGACCAGGCACTGATCAGGCTCCTCTTTACACCCAGAGCAGGCTGACACGGGATACCCAAGGGGACAGGCCAGCGCCCCTCCTAGTTGCCGCCCGAGGCTCACCGGTTGTGTTCATTGAGTTCATCCTGCCACTTGAGCTGCCCACTCTGTATCACACTATCGTACCAGAGCACCAGCCCCCCGGGAACTTGCTGGTGCAGCCGAGCAGTCAGATAGCGCAGGAAAGCAGTCATGTTCTGGACGGCAGTCTCCTGGGTGAGAGGAACAAAGATCAGACCTGTGGCAAGGGGACTGTCACAAGAAGCTCCCAGCACAGGACACACAGGAGCACACAGAAACCCTGGTCCCCAGTGCACCTTGCCCTACAGCCCCAACATGCATAACTTGTCTCTGTGCCGGACAAGGACTCAGGAAAAGGTAAAATGCAATGGAAGGGAGGGTGACCATGGAAAGGAAGCAGAGATGCAGAAGAGGAAAGGCGTGCTTGTCCCGCCGCAGCAGTGAAGCACAGCACAGCCAAGCAGGCTGCAGGAGCAGCGGGGAAGACGCGCCGCGTTGCCGGGTCACCCAGGATGCAGAGCGGGCTCTTCCCGGAAGGGGCGATAGCTGTGCTGCTGTGAGCTGGGCCAAAGAACAGGGAAAGGGAGAGCCAAGCCAGGGCCAGGGGAGTGCAGGCGCCAGCACACAGGCCATGCTCACACTCAAGGAGTTCTCAATGTTGATCAACCAGCCATCGAAACGAAAAAACTGGGCGATCTGGACCAGCTGGTCGGCCACTGTCTGGTAGGAGCGGGAGTCCCCAGCCAGGAAGGCTTCACAGTGCTTCGCCCCTTCGCTCCACTCGGTGATGAATGTCCCTGTAAGACAGCGGGGCCCGAGGTCAGCTGCACGGCTGGCTCCGCCTCCGACCTAGGGGCCCACAAAGTATGGTCTCTTCATGGGCAGCATCAGCACCACCATTCGGAACCCTGCCCTGTGCCCCAGATACCTGGTGACTCAGACTGTGTGGCTGGGGCCCAGCAGTGGGTCACGGAGGCCTACAAATGGTCTGAACTCAGGCCAGACCTGCAGGCAGGGGTCAGCAGACCAGGGCCTCAGGCCACCAAATCCAGCTGCTTGCACGTACAAGTGATGCTTTACGGGACCACAGCCTGGCCCTCGCTGAGCTGTCATCCATGGCTGCGTTCCTACTGGTCATTATACGGTAGCCATGGCCCACAACACAACACTGGAAAGTATCTGCTACGCATCCTCTCTGGGACAGTGCAGGCCCCCGAGGCAGGATTCCTATTCCCTGAGAGGCACAGTCCCTACTAATGAACCTGGCTCTTACCCAACACACAGACCCCATGCCTGTGGGCAGCATTGGTCCAGCCCACCGGGGGTATGGTGACCATGTGGTGGCTAAAGTACACGAAGATGTCGATGTACTGCCAGTGGTAGAAGGAGTAGGGGTTCTGCACCGCTGAGCCCTGAATAAACCTGGGTGGGGAAACAGAACAAGATCAGGGCCCAGGAGACAGAGGAAGGACACTTGGCTGTGGGGTACAGCGCGCCCTGAGGAGGGTCCTCTTTGTTCTGTTTGGTGGATTCTAAATGTGAGCCTGCTGTACACAGGCTGTGGCTCTCCCTACAGAGCAGCCAGGAGGGAGCCGCTTTCACTTCAGAAGCAGGCGGTGGTGCTGCACCCGCATGCACTGAGCACTGTCAGGAGACAGGCAGGCTCGTGTGCCAGCCCTGGTCTCTGGTTTCTGCTTCCCACAAGGAGGGCAGCAGTGGCCCTGATGTCACCTCAGATTCAATCTCCTTTGTCAGGTTAGCTCATCCTCAGCCTAAGCCTCGACAGCCAGCTCTGTCTGACTCAGCCTTCCTGTCGATCAGCACACCCAAGGTTGTTGAATGGACATTTAAGACCCCAAGAGGTTCAAAGTTCAAACCCAGCCTGGGCAACGTAGCACCTTAGCGAGACCTTAACTCAAAACGAAAGATGAGAAAGAGCTGGGGATGCAGGGGAGCACAAAGGTCTGGAGTCCAAGCCCCAGTACTGCCTAAAAAAGAAAATAAGACTTTGGAGAAAATGGGAAGAGTTGGGCAAGGGAAGGAAGCCAATGGCACTGTACACCAGAGCCAGGGCCAACCTACCACACATCAAGCTCCGTGACCCTGGAGCGGAGATAGAGGCCACCCAGGCCAGTGTTCTCCTCATGGCTGCAGCCAAACAAAGGCCTGAGTCTCTCTCCCGTACAGCGGCAGAGTGCAGCCACGAATCCAGACTCGCGAGGCCCAACCAGAGCTTTCTCCTCTCTCCTCCCCATTCCCCCCCCCCCGCAAAGATGGCCAACAATAAGCTCAATGGCCAATGCCTCCTCACCTGTCTTCCAGGTAGCCACCCATCATGTCATGGCACAGTAGGGTCCGTGGCCGGCGGCTGCTCAGTGGAGGCTGGCGACACAATAAGGGCTCCAGGGCCACACTGAAGCTGTCCTCCATGAGGGGCTTCCAGGCCAGCAGCTCTTCCACTGAAGACAGGTAGAAGCTGATAGGTTTGGTGGTCTCCTTGTCATAATATCTAACTGGTCCAAGGAGGGAAACAGCGAGGAAATTAGTGGAAATCACAGGATTCATAGCAACGCTTTGATAATGACGGATGGACTAGGAAGGGTGGGAGATGCCCTGCACCGAACCCCAACTGTGGACGTGGAAATGCCATTCAGAGCCTCCATCTTCTCACCTGGCAAAAGATCCGAACTAAAACTGACCACTTCTCGAAAAACTGCTTCTTCTTCTTCTTCTGGACTCTCTTTAGTTCTAAGCAAAGAACATTTTTAAAACATTAGATAAGAGCTTAAAGCATGACTGAAAGCAAATGGCTAGGGGCCACCTAGACGTGGACTGCAGAAGCATGCCTCTGAAGCAGGCCCTCAGGAACCTGGGTAGGCGACCTGTACTAGCAGCCAGGCCTGGCTTCTGCCCTCGAGCACGCTGTCAGATAAACTCCTGCCACAAACAGCTGTACCACATGCCTCAAACCAGACTCATACCTGGAAGTCCACAGGTTTTGCTCTGGCCAGGGGATAAGGATTAGTCAAAGCACGCACAAAACGTAAGGTCCTGAAAAGCAGAGGCCAGGCTTTCTCTGTAGTCCACGTTCCCCTCTACATAATCACAAAACACTAGCGCTTCAGTATGCATGGGTGAGTAGCAAAGAAAGAGTGCCTTTAGTACATTAAGCTGGGAAACCCTGAAGAAGCTGTAATTCCATGGTGTTATTTGGAGAGTGGAAGTACTGAGGATTGAACCTGAGGCCTTCTCACTAAGCACCATTCCCAGTCTTTTTACATATATAATATATAAAAAATATATATATTATACATTATATATATTTTTTCATTTTGAGATAGTCTGTCCAAGCTGTGGTCTCAAACTCTCAATCCTCCTGTCTCAGGCTCCCAAAGTGCTAGAATCACAGGCTTAAGCCACCACAGTTGGCTTTAAAAGAAATTATTTTAAAAACAGCAAGAAGACACTGCTGGGCCCACCTGGGGACCACAGGCCCAAAAGCTGACGGTTTCTATGTTTTCCAGTACCTCAGAATAGTGGGCTATTCTTTGCCCTCTGGGTACCACCTTCCTGCCCTCCATCCCTACACAGGGGCCTGCTGGCAGGGCTCCTCCGCAGTGTCTAGTCACCTAATGCTGACCCGGCACCTCGGAGACTGCCGACCCTAGAAACTGCAGGGTGGGTGGGAAGTAGGGCAGAATGAAGTGCAGACACCACTGAAATGCTCCTTTGCGTGCTCCCCGGCCCTCCTCTTCCTGTGTCTCCCTCCTACCTGATTTCTTTACCCTTCTTTTCTTTGACCCCTAAAGGATTTCTCGGACCAATACTGCCCACCCAGGGCCACCTGTGTCTCTGGCTATTCCTTCAGTAGGTAGAAAAGGGCCATCTCAACACTCTCCCGACCCAAAAACACCTGTCCCACCCTCCATGCCCCCACATCGGCTGCTCACCATCATGCAGCCTGCAGTGCCCATCAGTCTCTGCTTTGGGTTTAGAAACAAACCTAGTATTGCCGCTTCCACCGCAGCTTGCAGAGGCAAACGCTCCCAAAGGGAACGCGCTGGGGTTCAAGGTCACGTCTGTCCCTTGCTGCCTTGGCCCATTCTGCTCTTCCTAGCTGAATGCCAACCCTCTAGTTCTCCGCCTGCTAAAGTCTTCCTCCCTACCGACTCCGGTCAGAGGTCACCCTCTGCAAAGCTGGCAAATGCCTAGCTGCGAGCTCGGGGATACGACCGTCACGGGGATCCGGACCCTCGGCCTTGTGCCCCACTTCGGAGGTGGGAACGGACCCTGTCCAGCCTCAGGGGCGATCCGTCGGCTTGCACGCGGCTCACCTGGCTGCAAAGAGTGGGTTGGGGCGAACAGGCGTAGGAAGCCAGCTGCTGTCCCTGCACGGGGCTCGGAGAGGGACCCCCGACAGCTCTGCATGGCCACCGGGCAACGGTGCACCCATGGCACTCTCCCCACGTCCTCACCTCCGCCCCTGCCGCTGCCGCTGCCGCCGCCGCCTCTGTCGCCGCCCCTGCTCCTCCTGCGCCTCCAGCTCCTTGGCCGCCAATGCTTGGCGCCGCGCAGCCGCCCGAGTCACCACCCCCTCGGCCTCCATCATTGCCCGAAGCCCGCGGGCCTCTCGGGCCAAGCGTCACCGCACCGGACAGCCAATCAAAGGCCCAGGCCCGACCCGCTGCCGCCCGCAGCCAATGGGGAGTGCGCAGTGCAGCGGCCCCACTCCGATTGGGCTCTGATTTGAGACTGGGGAGCCGGCGGGGGATTATGTAGCTAGCGTAGAACTGGGGCGGGGCCTCGGGGGGCGGGGCCTAGGGCGGGGCTTACACTGCCGAAGCGGAACTGGGCGGGGCCCCGCCCGGAGCGCGCAGGGTTGCCAGGTTTTTGCTCAAAGCTCGCTCCCTAACCGCTGTTGTGGGGGCAAGTTGAGGTTCACCTTTGCCTTGGAGAGGTGAAGCGATGTGCCAGAAATCTAAAAGTCAATACATAGTAAAAATTAGATTTTTAACCCAGTCCTCCTAACCCCATTAAGATAATTTTCAGAAAATTATAAAATGTTTATTCTCCTGTCAATATAAATACCAACAAACGTTAAAGATTGTATTCTACTCGTTAATCAGCAAAGGGACAAGACTGGTGTTATAACCAATGCAAAAACGACTTTTTAAAAAGTGTCTCATCTTTGGAAGGATCTGGAAAGTAATAGGTAAGTAGAGGTAGAGAAGGCTCTCCAGACCTGGAGTGCGGTGGTCCCCAGCAGTGGGGGGGGGAGGGGTGGGACAGTCCACATCTCTCAGCCACTTACATTCCACCGACAGCTGTGGACCGGGAAAGGGAGGAATCAATTCATGGCGCAGGCAGTTGTCCACTGACACAGTTTTTCCAACACCTCCACTCCAAGTGTGCAGGAGCACCTCCAGTGGGAGCTCACAGAAACGTGTGGCCACTGTGTTCTGAGCTGTAAGGACACTGGGAGGAGAGCCTGCCCTGTGTCCCCCCAGGCCAATGCCCTGTGCAGCTGACAGCTTCCTGGCTGGGCCACACTTCTGCCCCACGCCAAGCCAACTAGCCTGTTTATTATCATTGCAAACCCTGAGCTTTATGAGGCCCCAAGCTTCTGTAAACGTCCAGAAAGGGAATAATGACTAAGGCAGTTGAATACTGGCCTCAGATCTGCAGCAGCCCAGCCGGTTGGGCAAGGATGGACGGTGGAAGCAGGACGTGGTGACTCACAGGGTTCCCAGGACACCGTCCTCCAACCCCAGGGGCTCTTTGTAGGACTCGAGCCTGGAATGATTGCAGCAGTAGGGTAACCGGGTCACCCTTCTCTGTCCCAAGTGCTCGATCTCAACTTGGTCTGTATCAAACTGAAAGTTTCTAAGCCCTCACCTATAGCTCAGTAATAAGAAATAAGTGATTTCTTAGCGTCATCCTGCCCAGGTGAAACACAGTTCAAAGCATACTCTGAAGACCACTTGAGTAATGCTGAGCCTGTGGTGGAAAACCGGTTTCCCTTTGCTCCCATCTCCTCTGCTTCTTTCCAGACAACTGGCTTCTTGGTCTTGGGGAACAAAAAAAAGAAGGTCACCCTGCACGGCGAACAGTGGGACTTGGTGGTCTCTGCTTGGTCCCTGTGGCTCCTCTCCCTGAGGAGCAGACCAAGCCTGGAGATCCCTGTGTCTGTCTTGGGCTTGCGCTGGCTCCCGCTGTAGGGATCCTCTGACCCCTTGCTGAGCCCCAGAAGCCCTAGGCTTGTAGAGTTTCCAGATAAAATAAGACCACCCAGTTACATTTGAATTCCAAATACATGACAAATGGGGCGCAGACATGCTTATACTAAAAGGGTATTCTTTGCTTATATAAAACTCAAACTGCTCGGAGCCTGTGTATTTATTTGGTAAACCTGGCTGTCCTTTCTGTGAATCTACTCTACTCCACCTGCCGCCAAGCCAAGTTCTGGTAGACTGTCAATTGTTCCAGGTTCCACACCTGGAAGAGCAAGACACCAGGTGGTTTTGGACAGCTGCACTTTGGCATAATTGGCCACACAGGTGCTTGCTGCTGACTACCCAAAGCAGGACGTTTATTCTTGGAGGGAAAAGTCATTCAAAACATGTACCATGCTAAGAAGAATATATGCAGTGTATTATTTGTTGAAACTGTACTTCCGATTTGATTTGAAACTGTCTCATTGCTATCTGTTTATCAATAAAACTGTAGAAAAAAATAAAAAACAAAAAAAATGATCAAAACATGTACCATGGAAATTGGAGACTCACTGACCTCTAGTGTCCATCTCCCCATGCCCTGGAGTGCAAGGGTCTTTTACAGCAAAGTACAGAGGCATAGAGTGAGGAGATTATAGAGCACCAGGCTTGTTCCATCGCTCCTGCACCCCAACCCCCAACACACAGCACTTGCTTGTTTTTGTTTCCTTGTTTGTTTATAGAGGCCCAGGGGAGGAGGACAGGGTGGTTACAGTTTGGAAGTTTGCATTCATCTCTAAAAGAAAAGAAGTCTTTAAAATTCCATTTTGCTTTGCTGGTTACATTTGGACCTGCCCTGGCCGACCATGTGGGCCACCAGCTTCCTGTTGCAGGTGACCTCGTTGCTGCCTGTCAGTCATGCCTAGAGGAAAATAACCGAGTTCAACCTATTGCCTTTGCCCCACTTTGGCCCCTCCCTCTCCCTCTCAGCCTCTCACAGTATCCCAGGGGAGCCACAAGCAAGGGAGCAGGTTTTGCCTGTTCCCGGGTGTGGTCGCTGACATGCCCAAGAGTATGGCTGTAACTGCTAACGATTCCCAGCACCCCTCCTTCCCCTTGTTTCTGGATGTATAAGTCCCCCATTTAGGTGACTGCAGTCCATTAAGCTTAGCGTAGCTATGCATAAGTTCTGGTTTATGAGACAACAAGTAACACATATGATTCTGATTGTGTCTGCCCAACCAAGAGGCAAGCCTTCCACTTTTCCTGCCCAGTGGGTGTGAGGATGTGATGGTGAGGACCGTGGCAGCCATGTGAAGCCATGAGGTACAGCTGAGGTAGTATAGAGAAGAGGTCGAAAGGAGACAAGAGAAATTAAAGGGGCTCTGGTCCTTGTGCTTTTCCCCTGTGAATCACCCTTCCCCCACAGACCTCCATCCTCAAGGAAGCAGCATTCTTATTGGGCTACAGACTTCCAGTGGAGGGATGTGGTTCCCATTCTAACCTAGCTCCCCAGATGGGTAATCCGACATTAGCAATGTACCTCCTACATCACCCACCTGAAGTGACCACATAAGTACACCCATCTGCAGACCAGAGAGCCCCGCAAGGTAAAATGGAATGTGCACATCGCAGCTTCCCCTGTGACAGCGTGAGAGGAGTCCAGGAGGAGTCTCCCCCTCTGAGACTCCATCACTGCTCTCCTGCAGTGGATCCATAACTCTCCTGCAGCCCTCGGCTATTGGTGAATTCTTTCCATCGCCAGGGGCACCTGCCTCACACACCACCCCTTGCCTGACAGGAATTCCAGGCATGTGCCAGCTCTCCCAGCCCACTCCTGAAAGTGTCTGAAACGAATCTAGCTGCACGGGGCATCAGAGGAGAGCCGTGCAGACATTCCCGGGCTCACCATGGCGTTTCACCCTGAAAAACCTATTGTCAATTGAACCACTGGAACTCGGAAAGGCATCGAGTAGTGCCGGTTTCAGAACATCACCACTCTGCACGCTTACATCATCCAACACAACTCCTAGCTTACAGTCTCCATGTATTTCCCGTGAATGTTGTATGGAATGCAGAAAACAGAATGGCTAAGCAGATATGCTTTCATACCATTGTAGGGAGGAAAAAGTGGTTAAGTCAGACAATCATCAATCAGGAACCAGGGCCGGCCAGATAGCTTAAGGGCTGGCCAGATAGTTCAGTGGACTAAAGCGCCTGCTTCAGCAAAGCTCAGCAGCCAGGGTTCGTTCCCCAGCCTGCCCTGCAGGCCCTGCCCCTGGGGCCTGGTGAGACTGCGGTTGAGACTGGGTGTGGTGGTGCATGCCTGTAATCCCAGCACTTGGGAGGCTGAAAACAGGAGAATCACTACAAGTCTGATCTACATAGTAGACCCTGTATACCCTATAGACCCTGTCCTAAATTCATAATAAATAATCAGGGACCACCCATGTGTAGGGAACACACAGCTTACCTTGCAGATCTTTTTTCCCCCAGATCCTATTATCTTCTTTCTCATTAGGTTCCCTCTATAGTAAATCCCACTTTCATTCCAGTCAATGCCTCAAAGCATCCAGGCAAAAGCAAAATGACAGCAATGACTTTCAAATTGAGGAGAGTGGTGACATACACCTGTAATCCCAGCCCTCTAGGAGTCTAAGGCAGGAAAATCAGAAGTTCAAACACAGCTAGGGCATCTTAGTGACTTAGTGAGACCCCCATCTCAAAATGAAAAACAGAAAGGGCTGGGCTTGTAGCTCAGTTTAAAAGCTCTGGGTTCAACCCCCTTGTTATGGCTTGTGTCTAGATGACCCCTCCCCCCAGTGACAGGCAGTCATACATGGGACTTGTCAACGGTGGCTGGATCTAGAGTATGTGATGCTGGGATCCAGGGTGTGTGATTACTAAATTAGCCCACCAACAGATTTGGCATAGTTCTTGGTAGGATTAAGGGTGCCCCACACTGCCCCAATTTAAGGATGGGTAGCCTGGATAAAATATAAGGGCCAGAAAAGGGTTGTCACTTGTTGCTTGCTACTGGGGACCTTCTGCCTGCCCTGCTTTGCCATGGCCCATTTCTCCTCTGCTGGGCCACTTTTCCTTGGAGCCAACCAACTATGAAAGTAAACCTTGGGGCTGGCGAGATGGCTCAGTGGTCTTAAGCACCTACTTGGAACAAGCTTGGCAAAGCACAGGGACCGCGGTTCAATCCCCCAGCACCACATGCCAGCCAACCCCGCCCCCAGGTGGGCTGAGCTGGCCACACACACACACACACACACACACAAAATAAATAAATAAATAAATAAATGTTTAGAAAGTAAACCTTACCTCCTTCAACTGTGGGTGTGGGGTATTTTGTCTCAGCAATGAGAAAAGTAACTAAGACATCCTGGTACAAAAAAAAAAAAAAAAAAACCAGCCTTTGAGAGTACTGCTTTTGCTTAAAGAGT